TATTTTCTTCTATATTAATACGTACACTATTTGAAAACTGTTCGATAATAATACTAAATAAATTACTTCAAGCCACACTATAACACATTTCCTCTTTTAAAAGTGTTCATACTATTTGAAATATTTTGCAACTGTAATTCTCTTCTACATTTAAAGATTGTTATGTCCCTCCATATTAAGAAGAGGTCTGGAAAACAAAATTCTGTGCTAAAAATAGACCACGTGCTGCTATCCGTGAACTACTTTCATGGTTCTTTACACTCTTTTTGAAGGCAACGATACCTTGTTTTAAACTTGAATTTATCATTTAAAAGTGCAAAATTGAGACATTTTTTCAACAAATGGTTGTAGAGAGAACATTAATGCACAGTTTGCGTATTTTTTTGGATTTTTTAAGGCTCTGCTGAATTCTGCAGCTGCGCAGTTCTAAGGAGCATTTCAAAAGCATTTTTCTGCAAAAGTATAGATTATATATGCACAATATGCATTCAGTTATGCATATTTATCGTATCTTTATCATAAGGACTTACAATTTGAACAAAATGTAATGTATTTTAGCCATTTGAAGAAATGTTTACATTTTGTTCTCACTGCACTTAAGGTGGCCGTACATCCCCCTTAAAGCGTCGATCTTTGCATGAATTTTGGCCTTGAAGTCCTTCAGGGCAGGCCTGCCCCTAAATAAAATTGTGGTATTTTGATAGGTTAAGTTGTAAGGAATAATTTAAGATAAGATTTTTTAGGGGCACCCCTGCCCTGGGGTCGAAATTAACAGAAAACCTACAAAAAATAAGGAAACCTGATTTTCATAATCTGCTTTAAATTTATGCCAAACATATTTAAAGTCTGACTAGCTCATTTGATATATACGCTGACTTTTTACACCTTGGATACTTTCTTTTTAAAGTCGGGAGTTCGAATCCACCTGGTACAACACTTTTGAAGTTTTAAATGTCGCCTTTTCAAAGACTATTTTAATTTTTTTTAAAGACTTGTGTATTTTTCCTTCAATTATCTATCCTTTATGCATACCCATTCTTGATATAAGAAACACTAAAGAGATATCAAATCGTAACTATCCAATGTACAGTTTTCAGTCAGGCGGAACGAACCTCAGTATAAGCACACTTTCCCGAGGACAAGAATAACTCACTATGTGTTACTCAATACAGGTATTCTTGGCAGCATTAAGCTGCGATGAATTTCAATTGTATATATTCCTTTAGAATTTAATCACATTGATTTTGGCTACATATTTCAGTAAATGCACTCCCTTGGATTTCATTTAGGCCTATATAATTTGCACACATTAATGACATGTTTTTTTATATCCACGGATAAATAGCATAGACATTAATAATAGAATTTCAGAGACAGTAGACATTATCTTTATGCACAAAAGAAGTAAAGAAGTAAAGACAAATATCAATTATTACATTTGGAGATAACAAACTCAGAAAATCAATGAAATGGTTGATCCTACCACTACTCACTGACATAAAGATTTAGGAAAAACAAATTGTTATATGTATTAAAACATTTGAATATTTGACACTCAAGATCTTGCTATATAATTTTTTTTTACTGATGTCCTGATTTTGTTGTTGTTGGAGGTTTGGACCCTTTTAAATGTGTCCAATATAATTATGAATGTAATTGTAATCTTCCAAATCTCAGATATCACATCATAACCATTGATTGGCTCATATAGAATACCTAGCTAGATGGATAGACAATTTGCCTGCAGCAGATCGAAGCTGAACTATAAAAGTACTTGTCGGATGCCCTGTTTTATCTTATTTCAGATTCCTCGGCTTATAACATTGGCTACACACGCCCCAAATAGAAAATATCAAAAAGATCATCCTAATTCAAATTTATTTAAAAAAAGATATTTAGTGAAGACATTGATAGAGGACTTCGTTAGTACTGTGCTAATATTTACAGCAAGTCGGACCTTATTTCATTTATCTTTCGAAGCGTGATAACAAATATTGCTGATTAATATTTGTTCATGGGATGTTTTTCTTTTTAAAATACAGTGAGACAACTGAATTTTAGCGAGGACTGTTTATAAATTCTATTTCAAAACTAATCAACATCAAAAATGAACTGAACATTAGAGTGAACGGAAACACAGCAGTTACATTTCATACCTATTATTCGACGATCGACCATTTGTGTGCAGATAGCTGTTTAATTTCAAAATAGACAGCTTGAGTGGATCATGAAGAAAGTTCCTAATTTGTGTTTGTTTTTGCTATTAATTTCAGGAATATCACTAACAAATGTTCAAGGCCTTTATACTGACGCTGAATTACTTCTTCAAGAGGTTTTCAAGAACTACTCTAAAGAAATCCGACCAAAAGCGAACTTTTCAGAAGCTTTAGAGGTCGCTCTTATGCCCATGATTTTTTCAATAAATGATTTTGATGAGATTTCTGGTGTGTTGTCCATTGTTTGTGGCTTTGGTATGTTTTGGCGGGATTTTCGATTGACTTGGACACCAAGCAACTATGGGGACATCGAAGAAATCCCAGTTCCCAAGGAAAAAATATGGATTCCTAATATCTTTTTGATTGACCCAGCAAATAAAATGGAAGCCCTTGGAGATGAAGACTTCTTGGGGAGAATTTCTTACACCGGAACTACGAGATGGATACCTGCTGGTCTGATTCAGACTCTTTGCAACGTTGATATGTATAAATTTCCATTTGATACACAAACTTGCTCATTCACTTTATCACCGTGGGGATATTATCCAAATGAAGTGAGATTAATCCCCTTGAATGGTGTGACAGTCGCGGATACGACGTACTACTCCCCGAATGCCCAATGGACATTACAAAAGGCACTTATGAAGCGGGCTGTTCTCGAAGATTTTGATAATATAATTGAAATTCGACTAATTTTGAAGAGGAAATCTCTTTATTTCATCATAAACATGTTAGCCCCTATCCTTTTATTATCCTTACTCAACCCTCTGGTGTTTGCTTTACCAGTTGAAAGTGGAGAACGTGTATCTTATGCTATAACCATCTTCTTGTCATTTGCCGTGTTTATGACATTGCTAAGTGACAATATCCCTAAATCTTCAGAGCCAATGTCTTTAATGTCATATTTCTTAATAATAACAATGTCGATGAGCACACTTATAAGCGTTCTGGCTGTTGTCACGATGCGTTTTCATTTCAGAGACCCTACTTTTCACGTCTCAAGTAAAAGTGTTTTTGTGCTTAATGTTCTTCGACTCCGATTCTTATACGACAACTGTGGAAAACGAAAAAAGAAGGCTAAAATCGCTGACAAATCTGCCGAACTGGATGTAAGTTTTGAAAAGAAATATATTGCTCCTAACGAAGATTCGCAAGATACTGATGAGGCGGAGAAGAAAGTAACTTGGAAGATTTTAGCGGAGGGATATGACAGAGTGATGATGCACTATTTTTACATCTTTGTTTTCTTTCAGTGGTTTATCCTAGTAATAACATTAACGTGAAGGAGGATTGTTTCAACATATTTTGAATGAAACATGTAGACATCGTATTCTGGGAATTTTCCTCTTCTGCTATTTTGCGTTTTTGTGCAATTTAAAACCGGACTTGGGTGCATATATGTAACTATATTTATAAAGATTATCACTAAATATGTAGTTAGAGTACTAGGTGTAATGACATTTTTGTTTGACTTTTTTAAAACATGATATTCTTAGCATTTTGATATATGACTTTTGCAATGAAATGATTGTATGTATACTGTGTCAGTGTCCAGATTGTGACTTAAAATTCATGAGTTTAAATTTTGGTAGAGAATATTTCAAAAATATTTTCACGCTTACTCCTCCTTGGCACCTGACCACACCTCTTTAATTTCCAGGGTCCATGTTCGTGTTTTGTCCTATATATATACTTGTATTGTAGATTTTCTCATGAATCGATCGCTGTTTATTATCTGCATCTATTATTAGATAAGTTATGAGATTAACAATAAAGTTTATCGTAATAGTGTAATATTTTTTTGGCATTTTTTTCAATTTGGTAAATACGCATTCATGTCAGACATATAAAACTAAATCTATCTTCACTCCCACACAAAACCCTAATTGTTTGAAATCGAAATTTCTCTGCTACAACATTTTTGGCAATTGGAGTAGTGCCACTACTAAAAATCAAGAGAATATGAAATCACAAAATGTTTAAAAAATTTATGACGTACATGTACATGTTAAAATGCGCCTTCTTCAACGTTCTCTACAATTATTCTTTAATCTAGGCTTTGATTGCATCAAAGAAAAATAGCTTCTCTTATAAAACAACAATTTGGATATTATCATATCTTACGATTGGTCATTTACCAAAGTACTTTGTTTAAATCATTTAGATTCTACACAAAGGTACTTTGAAATTTGTATTTATGAGATATCATGAATTATTTGTCGTCAACATCTTTTATTTTAGGTAGTGATACTAGTATTCCAATATCCCTTGCTTTCAAGTTTATGTTGCCCACTGATCGCTTCACAAAAGCATGTTCTGATGCAATCAACCTTTAAACAAAGGTAGACTACTCACAAATAAGTTGATCTTTCAAAGTTGGGTTGAATTGTGGCTTAAAAGTTTTTTATAATTAACTAAATACAGGATGCTTACGGTTATCTGACCAGTCGACAGGGAATGCTTCTTTCTAATGATTTTTTCAAAGGGCCTGTGTTTTCCCCTGTTTATAACATGTTTTCAAACAGGATTTTGCAATTTAACACTGTTTTATTTATCTTTACTCCCCTCATTAATACTTAGAAATATAAAAAAAAGAAAAATACGAAAGCATTAATCATTACATTAGATCGACCTGGGAGCGAACTGAGATAACGTTTAGCTTTGGTGTGATTTTTTTTTCCTCGAGAAAAAGATATTATTATATATTAACCCTTTAGATTTTAACGAGTAACGGACCTATAAATCTCTTTAGCAATTTACATTTATGTACCTAATAATTACTACCTGTAATGACGATTGTGTTTCAGGACATTGTACACAATATACTGACATGGGAGACCTTTTTAGTTGGATCAACAACGGTCAATTTCCATCTTTTTAAAAGAACTATAATGGTGCTTAATTGTTTATATTCAAATGTGTTTGATTTGAATACCTTACAGAAACTATTCAGTCAATATCATACGATTAATGGTGTTTTTCAAATTCCGAATGCATCAATAGTTTCCACAAAAGGTTTATTTCTGCAAAAACACAAAAATTGATTCGACATGGGGTAATTGTTTCGGCACTATGGGTTTGTCTAATGAACACCATATTGTCATAGCTGCTTGTTTGTAAAAAGTCATCGAATTCGTATGATGAAAAGGTTAGACTTTTTACTTTTCGGAAAAGGGATACAAAAGGCATAATTACTGTTGCTTAAAGAGAATTTTAGATTCGCGTACAAAAAAATTCCTCAGAATCCTAAGACCTATCTTAAGATATTCCTAAGATATGTCCTAAGAAAAATCCCAAAAGGCGACAATCCCTTCTTCTATTTATTGGTGAAATATTTTTTTCTTTCAAAAAGAGATATCTCTTCAACATAGAGAGATATCTCTTTAGCTTATAGAAATATTTCTTGAACTAAAAGAGATATATCTCTTTGACTAAAAGAGATATCTTAATTTATACCTTAGAAAAAGAAATATCTCGTTTTCTAAGAGAGATATCTTTATGAGGTAGAGAGATAACTCTTTAAGTGAGGGAAGGTTGAAAGAGAGAAAAAGGGTGAAAAAGAAGAGAGAGATGGGGTTAGAGTTTGAGAAGAGAGAAAGCGAGTATAGTTAGTGAGTGGGGAGAGAGGGGGGTGTGTGTGGGGAGAGAGAGGGGGTAGAGAGTGTGGGGAGATATTGTTTGGGGGAGAGAGTGTGGAGGAGAGAAAGGGAGGGGGAGAGAGAGTATACATGTAGAGAGTGAGTCGGTAGAGAGTGGGGATAGAGAAAAGGGAGAGAGAGTGAGTGAAGAGTGGTGAGATAGACAGTGATTTGGGAATGGAGAGAAAGGTTTGTTGTTTAAAGTCAATTTTCAGAATTTCTTGCCTGTAGAAAACTGCAATTTTACCTAAACCGAGCCTTCAATGCCATTGAGATGTGGGGGATCTTTTTCGTGACAGCATCTACTGCGACACGGATTCTCAGTTTACACGGTCTCATCCGAAGGACCGGTCTTAAAGCTTCACATCCAACAGTGGGATTCAAACCCTCAAATTCCTTTAATTTTAGGTTGAAATTATAAAAAAAAAAATTTATTTAGCCTCTAGGAAATAATTTTCTAAATATCATAACATCAATTTATTACATTTTATGTCATTATTACATTTTGAATTGTAACAGTGTATTTTTTCCTCTCACTGTAAATATCAGGGCTGCATTCAATTACAGGTATTTGCTCTCTCAAACACTTAAAGTACAAGTAACTCAACACTTAAAAATAGTGTTTCGTATTTGGAGTACAAAGAACTATATGCGGTATATTGCATTTGTTTGCCCCCACAAAAGTCAAATTTTGAAAACTTCCTGAAATGTGCTGAATTCAATAAATTGTACGAGAAATGTAAATTAACAGAAAATATTATAGTTCCAAAGCAGTGTATTCACAATTTTTGTTTTTATGACGTCACAAACTAGTCTGATTTTATATTCTTTTTCAGAAAAAGGACAAAATGGACAATATTTCAACAATTTTAGCTTTTAAAGTTATAGAGCGCATGTGTGTTCAGGAATAATATTGACATATTTCATTGATATTATCATTCTACACATTATATCAAAATATTTATCCTGAACACACATGCGCTCGGTGACTTTTATTTAAAATATCGAAGAAATTTATACATTTTTCTGTAAAATTCATAAAAAACTGAAATTTACGTCATATTTGTGACGTCATTACGTACATATGACGTCATTACTTATGAAATTATTCAGTGCTTTGAAGTCAGCATATACTCCCCTGTTTAAGGACTTAATTAAATATTACTCCATCAAAGTTTGATTTGGGGGGCAAATATTGGTTAATACCGCATAAAGTTCTTTCACATTAACAGTGTATTTTCCAAACAAAGTTTGGTAAAGTCAGGCAAAAATGAACTAGATGCTTTATATTACATAATGCCATTGTGCACCTCCTTTTTTACTCTTTGATCTGACACTTATTTCAGGACTCTAAGAGCAAAACATGGACTTTGCAATTATCATCATATGGGAGGCAGGGGGTGATCATTTAGTGAGCTCAGTGCTCACAGAACCTCTAGTTTAATCAGATGTTGGCAGCATGATATTCCTTTTTAAGAGATGATGAAAGGGGAGAATCCAACAGAAAATTCTCAGTGAAACAAGAGGCACATGGGCCACATTGCTCACCTGAGTAACTTTGGCCATTCTGTTAACAGATTTCCCCATTTGTAATACCTTTTGTGATCCTGGCCTATCCTGAGTGGTCATTAGATTTAGAATCTACACAACCTAAGAATGCTTCCACATAAGTTTCAGCTTTTCTGGCCCAGTGGTTCTTGAAAAGAAGATTTTTAAAGTGTTTTCCTATATTTTATCTACTAGTATATGAAACTTTGATTCCCTATTGAGGCCCCACCCTTCACCAGTGGGTCATGAATTGAACAATCTGAAATCTACACTACCCCCAGATGCTTCCACAAAGGTTTAAACTTTTCAGGCCTAAAGGTTCTTAAGATTTTTTTAAAGAAAGATTTGTCCTATATATTTCATTGTAAAACTTGGGATTCCCTATTGTGCCCTTTCCTACCCCCAGGGTTCATGATTTCAACTATTTAGAATCTTCACAACCCCAGGATGATTTCACATAACTTTTCAGTTTTTCTAGCCAAGTTGTTTTCGCGAAAATTTTTCAAGACCCAACCACACTATTTTTGTTTTTCCCTGAATAATATCCCTTTGGAACGGGAATTGGTCTTTCATTTTAAAAATTTTAAATCCCTTTATCTAAGGATACTTTGTACAAAGTTTAATTAAAATTGGCCCAGTGTTTCTTAAGAAGCTGAAAATGTGAAAAGTTTACAGATGGACGGACACACAACAGACAATGTGTAATCAGAAAAGCTCGCTTGAGGTTTCAGCTCAGGTGAGCTAAACAGGGTTCTTGTTCTCCTGTTCTGTTATGTACTGTGAAATCACAAATTTTCGTTGGGGTTTAATTTTCGTTGTTTTTGAGGTATGAAGAGACCCATGAATTCATGTCAACCACGAAATGTAAAAACGCAACACACATAAGTACTCAATTCTTCACCCACAAACTAAGAGTTTTTATTCAAAACACGAAAATTTGACCCCACAAAAAATATGTGATTTTACAGTATATCAAATGATTAAAGACAATTCACTTGAATAATTATTTACCACTGTTTATTAATAGTCTTGCATGCTAATTTCAAAATACATTCAAGTCATACTAGAGGCAGTGCTATAACTATCATAATACAGAACTTGCAGACACAGAGAGGAAATAAATACACATAGTTATAAGCCCTGATGAATGTAAATACTGTTTACAATTATCCACAATTTTCATTCACTTGTAATTTATCTACATGTAGTAACTCCAAATGATATTGAAATTATTTTGTACATTCATCCATGGAATTTTACAAAACTTTCTCCTGACTAGGACTCCAGACTTCAAATTATCAAATAAGAATAATCTAATAAAAAATGATTAAAAAACAATTTAAAAACATTA